CAAACCCTATCTTTTATAAATACTGAAACCATATATAAACCAAATGAGTGAGTGTGGCTGTATTGGGAAATCTTGAAGCTGTTGTGAGAGTAAAACTTCAGAGTACATGCCTAGTGTCACAGGGAGGAAAACATGCCTCATCTTGACATAGCGAGGACAGGGCTGTCTATCTGCATAGCCCATCATGTACTCTTTATTGGTTTTTACAGACAGGACTGTATAATCATGGCTGTTCTGGAGCTCACTCTGTAGACCAGATTGGCTTCGAACTCACAGAGATCTGGCTGTCTCTGCCTCCCAAGTGCAGCCAGTGCTACCCAGCATGCACTGCCGCTGCCACCGCCCGGCTCCATCATGCACTCTTAGAATGAATATAGCTTCCGAAAATGAATGTAACTGTGAATTAAGATAGAGCTCTGTAAACATTCTAACTTCTCATTCACATGGTAAGGTGCTGATAAAAGACCTAGTAGGTCAGCATTGCCTGGCACAGAAATGAATTTAAAATCCTTCTTTTCTGTTTAGTGGTAAGGATTGATCTGGATTTGGGGCAGTCTTACCTCCGATTTTAAGTTATATTAAACTCTGCCTAGTGGCATACTTAGGGCTTTGATGGAACAGTTTAAACAAGCACACCTGACCTGCATTTGAATGCAGTTCTACTCAGTTGTAACTGATGATACTTAGCATATCAGTGTACAGATCTAGGGCCTAATCTAGGTTTATTACTCAACAAAAAGAACCATAGTATCTTGGAGAAGTAGTGGTGTTAAGGGTTTGGGCAAAGAAGATACAAGATGAACTTGGGTAATCTTCCGGTGTCCGAAGATACAGGAGTACTTAAAACTAACTTTATAAAAAAATGTTAAATGAAGCAGGTTGGAACAGTTGGAATATCAGAATAAATAACAGCAGCATTCTATTGTAGCTCAGAGTCAGGTGTTTACAACAGTGTGTGTACAGCAGCGTGATAAATAAACATCTCTGTAACAGGGAATTGTAATTAATGAGGTGGTAGACTTAATTTGTGAGATTTGACCATTGAACAATGCAGTCATACCAGAATATCACTTTATAGTCCATAAATATGTATTATTCTATATTTGGCATTTTAAAAGTGAGATTTAGGACCAGCAAGATGGCTCCCCATGGGTAATGGAGTTTGCTGACAAGACTCATGACCTGAGTTGAATCCCTGGAATCCCATGGTAGAAGGAAAGAACTGATCCCAACAGGTTTTCACATGTGTGCCATGGCAGGCACATGCCTCCACACATACATAAACAAGCAAATATTTTTTTTTACAGGCAAATATTTTTAAATGAAATTTTAAAAGTAGAAATGAGGCCATGCTCGAAAGGAAACATTTTCCCGTTTAATTTTCTCATCTAACATGGCCTGAAACCTAAGTCTAGATTAAAGAAAGGAGTGTCCAACTGATTGTTTCCCTGATCCTTGCCCAAAGTTGGAGATGATGGGGTCTGTAACTATTCTGAGTTGTTGTGAGACTTTGCTCTGGGCTTTGTCCAGTGGCTAACAACACACATACAGCATTCATGTGTATAGTGAAGAGACAAGCATCTGTGGGTCCCACATCCTGGGATTTAACGAAGCACAGGTGGAAATACTGCCCATGGGTACTATGTCGATAGGCCCAGGAAGGTTGCATCTCTACTAAACTTGTGCAGCCTTATTTTTTGGTTTTGTTGGTTTTGTCATTATACACTAAGCAACTATTTAGATTATTAGGTTTCGTACATAATCCAGATGTGATTTAAAGTGTGTAGGAGGATGTGTGGGGGCTGTATGCAAATATTGCCCCATTTCATATAAGGGGTCTGAACATCTAGATTTTGGTACCCACTGTGGGTACCAGTCCCCTAGAGATACTAAAGGCCAGTTGTATAGTCAATTCTGTCTTAGTAAATGGTAATCAGAAATCCTGAATGTTCCTATTTCATCTACATGCTCACTCCTTACTCATTCACTGTATGCCATTTACAGAAAGCTATAGGCTGTGAATGAAGAAAATTATCCAGATTTCTATGAAGAAATATGAATGGCCTTTTAAAATGCTTTTCATTGCCATTTCTTTAACCTGACAGTTATTAACTTGGTCACAAATCGCTATGATCACTGTGTCATGGAAAGATGTAAAGGTGTTGTTAAACCTGGTTTTCTGGTCCATGTCTCCAGTGTCATAGCCAGCCACGTCATCTCTCACAAGTGCTTAACTTTCTCTTGAAATCAGTCTTCTACATTGCTTTACTATAGACTCCTCTCACAGAGCTTAGATTACCACATGACATGCTTGATAAAGCCCCTTTAAAAGACGTAAAGACTTGGGCTGCACCTGTAGCTTTCCTTGCATGCATGAGGCCCTCGCTGCAGTTTGTTCAGTACATGGTATGTCTCAGTGGCATTAGTGCTTTTTCTACTTAACTGTTAAAACACTTACCAGGTTATCACAAATGTAATTTTAGAAGTGCTCTGGTAAAGGTTCTCGGATGTGGGCAGTTATGGTTCTGTGACAATTTAGTGAGTCTGGCTGCCATTCAGTATGGCTCTGAGTGTTCTACAGAATCGAATACATGTGTCCATTTAGTACCACCTTTTTGTAATGGAACAGGATGCTTTCTCTGCCCAGATCTGTACAGATTAGATTGGACAGGGCTACCCTACTCACAGTGATTCCTCCTCAGTTCTTGCTGTCGTACTAAGAAATGTACCAGTGAGTGACCTCAAGGCTACATGCCAGGCTGTCTTCCCAACAGGCTTGTGTCCTCCCTCCGCAGAGTTCAATTCACCTGGCTCCGTTGACTCTTTAAGGCATTGAAACTTTTACCATGCTGCTTGGAGAGTATCTTCAGTTTACATAGACCGAAGAACTCATCTTGCTATTGTGGTTTAAAATGCACTCATCCCTGTGCCTACTTCAGGTTCTGCAATCAGTCTTCCATTTCAGAGTTGGTTGTATCTCTTCTATAGGAAATTAATATTTTCCTCTTTAAAGTAGACCTGAATATCTAATTCTTAACTCATTCTAGAGTAGTTTTTCTAAAAGATTAGAAACATCTCTGTGCATGAGTGATCTGGTGGCAGGAGTAGCTAGTCATTGAGTTCAGATAAAGAAGACAAAGATCTCTGGGGTGGTGTTACACTGTAAAGATCGATGTGGTTGGCACCCCTGACCTCATATGTCCTCATATGCCCCACAGGCATGGGCTGAGGCTTTTTCCCAGATGCACCATCTTTTCTCTCCTGGGCCTTATGCTCCTGCTGGCTTTTCTACTTCTCCTGTGTAGTTCCGTGTGACCTCTTTCTCCCGAAGGCAGTAATGGTAACAGTGGTCTCGCAGAAGCTGCACTGACATTTCACATCTGTGTTCTGGGCATTTTACATCGTTAATCATTCATCTTCACTGTATTTTATCTGGGCAGGTTGATTATTCTCACTGGTATAGATTTGGAAACCTAAGCTTCAGAGAAGTAAAAACCTTTCCTATGGCACTAGAGTTAGAAAGAGATAAACTAAGTCAGTTCTAGTTCTTCTTAATTTTGTAGTTATTTTTCTCTTCCATGAAGCAGAGATGAGATGGTTACAGTCATTACTGTGCCTGCTGCCTACCTGTTCTTAGGTCAGCAGGCTGAGAGACTATTTTCCCCAAGTTACTAATGTGTGTTGTCTCAAGGCAGGAGTTTATGTTAGCACATTGGTCCCGCATAACAGCTGCCATCTGGGCATGTTTATGATTGCAATTTTGCAGGTGGGAAAACTAAGGTTCACAGGTGCTGACCCTGTTCCCAAAGCCAGTCTGTCTGACAGTGGAGACTGGATCCACTCTTCTTTTGAGTCTTTGCTTAAGCTCCCTGTGCATGCAGTATTGTGCACGTACTAGTGGAGAGCCAGATCCTCTCAGTTTAAGGATTCAGAGCACAAGAGAGGATGAGCCTAACTTGTACAACAGTAGGAATTCGTTTCTTGAGTCTTAACGAAAGGGCAAACATACATCTATGACAATGTACACTGAAAACTTGTATACGTGTGCATATTGAAGACTATGAGTACAGTGTTTGCAGAGTGTATTCTGGATATGAACATTGTAGATTCAGTGTGACTAAGATTAGCAATTATTTTGAAGTATAATGCCACTGTATCCAGAAATGAACTTAAGTGACAGTGGTGATGGGTGACTTGTGACTAGGCCATATGCTATCATTTGTTAACGAGATAGTCAGGTGTATATCTGCCTATAGCAGGATGTATGAATCAACATTTAAAGAATTAGTATTTATAATTCTTGATTGACTCAAAACTGGTATATGTTATTACTTAATTGGGTTCTACTCATTCACCTCTTTTGGTTTTTCGAGACAGGGTTTCTCCGTGTAGCTCTGGCTGTCCTGGAACTCACCCTGTAGACCAGGCTGGCTTTGAACTTACAGAGATTCACCTGCCTCCCAAGTGCTGGGATTAAAAGTATTTGCCACCACCGCCCAGCACTCATTTAACCTCTTATGGACTATACAGAATAAAAAGTAATCATCAAGTAACCAAGTAACTTACATTCTACAACAATCAAATCCACACAACTAGAACTTTCAGAAAAAAAAAGGGGGGGGCATGGTTTAAGAACTGGGTTTGTTGACTCACCCAGTAACTTGAGAGGGCAAGGCAGGAAACTGATGAGTTCAAAGCTAGCCCAGGCCACACAGTGAGATCCTGTGTCAAAACATCAAGAACCACGGTTTAAAGTCATTTTCTATCTTTCACATGTTCTGTTTGAGTAGAGAACTCAGCATATATGCATTCATTCAGCAGTGTTCATTTATTGTTAGTTTATCATTGTGGTAGTTACTAGGGGAATAGTACAAGATAGATGTCATCCTCATCTTTATATATTATAACCATAGTGGTCCCAAATTATAAAATTAATTACTGAGAAATGCAGTATAGTTTGAGAGCAGAAATGAAAGTAACATTTATTTCCATCCCAATAGATTTCGGTTTTGGAAATTTCTTTAAAACTGGTGAACTGCTGGCAACATGGTGTGGCAGCCCCCCTTATGCAGCCCCAGAGGTCTTTGAAGGGCAGCAATATGAAGGGCCACAGCTGGACATATGGGTATGGCTTTATTTTGACATGTTAATGTATCTATCATGATAATTGGTACTCTGACCTATCTTAGAAGCTCCTGGTACTCAACAGATGAATAAGATTTTATATTCTCCCCCATCCAGTGAACTGTAATTAGTCAGAGCATCTGGAAGTGGGTCCCTAGGAAAGAATTTCTAGAGACAAGTGTTATCATTCTAATATCAGCAATGACATGAAGTAATATGGCAAGCAAAATGACCAAGTTCAGATCATTGGGTATTATTATGCTTACTCTCACCACAGGAGGTGAGAGAGGAACTTCAGAGAGGAAGCCGTCAGTCCTTGTGATTTTAAGAGCTGTGGCCGTGTGTGGGAAATGAGTGTTTGATGTTCTCTCTGAAAGCGACTGCATCGTTTTCTTCCCTAGAGCATGGGAGTTGTTCTTTATGTCCTTGTCTGTGGAGCTCTGCCTTTTGACGGACCAACTCTCCCTATTTTGAGGCAGAGAGTTTTGGAAGGAAGATTCCGGATTCCATATTTCATGTCAGAAGGTAACAAGCTGTTCATCATATTGGTCGTGTGTTACAGAATTTGTGCTGTATGAAGTTCTAGCCAAAGTTAGTTTCCCTGCTGAGAGTTTGGGTGCCAGATTAAATGACTTAGTCATTTTAAAAGCCATGGAGCTCTTCAACAGCCTCTATGTAGACAAGACAAATTCCAGCCTTCCTCCTTGTAACTGAGAACAGAAGCTACCCAGATTAAGAGCAGCAAGTCTTCCTATTCAGCTTAGGTCTATAAATGGCCCAGTTTATTTTAGATTCCATAGATACAGGCTTATAACCATTTTACTCTATATATGAAATATATCTGCAGAATTAAATGTTTTTAAATTCAAAGTCAACTGGTAGAACGTTGGTAAATTCAGTTGAAATGCCACGATCCCTACCTGTCTTGTTTTGGTCTGTCAAAGGCACAACAGTTTGATTTACTCCTTAGTTGTGGTTTTAGTTTTCATCCTTATCTCTTATTCCTGAAACAATAGATGTAATTAATGCTCTTGGGAAGGCAAGATCACATAGGCTCTGGCGACAGACTACCTGGTTGATCCTGAGTTCACTACTCACTGACCGGGCAGTTTGGCTCATCTATGAAGTGGAGTTGACAGTAATTCCTTTCCTAGAGGTGTTGCGAGGATGATGAAACTATTCTGCACAAAGCACGTAGCACAGAGCGTGAGAGATGTGAGTGGCAGGAGTCTGAGTTGGAGGAGGGTGGTGAAGAGCTTGCTGTTACTCATAGCTGCAGCTGCAGTGTACATAATGTAATCAGAATCAGAACTGCACACATGGTCCTTGGCAACACTGATGAGATGGTGCTCTCCCAGCTGCCTTTACTGAACATGCCTTGATACTACTGAGGATCGGTTCATAATCCCTGCTCCGAGAATGCAGCTTAGTCTTGTTTTTCCTTAGTGTGACTAGATAAAATGCGCTCGGAAGGCTCTTGTAGTACATAAAGACTTATACTCACATGTGTTAAAGTAATTGTTTAGCATCTGAACTTGACCAGTCTACCCCACATGCATTCATTTGCTCATTTGTCTTGCTTTCCAGTAAAGGATTCAAAAATTAGCATTGTTGTGCAAAATCACATGGGCCATGCTAGTATGCCTGGAGGTGATCTATGCACCTTTTTAACATTGTGTTTTCCACAGATTGTGAACACCTTATTAGAAGGATGTTGGTCCTAGATCCTTCCAAACGGCTAAGCATAGCTCAAATCAAGGAGCACAAGTGGATGCTCATAGAAGTTCCTGTACAGAGACCTATTCTCTATCCACAAGAACAAGAAAATGAGCCATCCATTGGAGAATTTAATGAACAGGTTCTTCGATTGATGCACAGCCTTGGAATTGATCAGCAGAAGACTATTGAGGTAAAGTGATGGAGATATGTCTAGAGATGTTTGAAGGTTGATCGCCATTTGCCTCCTGAAGCTTTATGCTCATACCTGTCTTCCGAGTCTTACTTAGCACATCCATCCCCAATGCCTGAATGTACTGCTCAGGGTACCCAGATGATTACATAGAGTCTGTTTATAATTGCTGTTATTGAATCTCTAAACCCTTCCTTCACCCTCTCTGCCAAAAAGTCTAAGAAAAGAATTTTTAGAGGATTTGGAAAAGGCCAAGTCTGAAACTTAAAAATAGAATGTAAGCTGGGCATGATGTTGTATACCTTTAATCCCAGCACTCTGAGGCAGGCAGATCTCTGTGAGTTCAAGGACAGTCAGAGGTACATAGTGAGACCCTATCTCCAAAGAATACAAGGTTTTTCTAAAGTGAAACATGAAGTTCCATATTGGTATTAAACTAGTTAATATGGAGTACAAATGTATATATATGGAACAAGACTGAGTTGAACCAAGAACCAAAAGGAAAACATTAGATTAAAGGAAGCCAGTGGGGTTTAGGAAAACCAGAGAAACTAAACAGGCAGAAGCAAGTGAAGTTATGATTTAGAAACATTAATGGTTATAGAACGAAGAAAGCTTTGAACCTGGAAATTTCCTTTTGGCTTTTCTTTCCTATCTAATAGTTAGCATGCTTGTAGAACATACACAGCATACACAGGACCTGCACAACAGCCCCCTCCCCCAAAGCAGAACAGTGCTTTATGGAGACTGTTTCTTGTCTCACTTTGTGCGTTGTGCACTCAGTGATGTTTTCCCATGCTTATCCATGGAGTAGATCCTGGATAGTAGCTTCTGCAGGGTGTTTCCCTGAGGGTTTCCTGGATCTGTTACCCCCAAACAGCACCCACATGGATTGTCATGTGGGATTAGAAGCCAAGAGAAGTTTCTCTGTTGGATTGGCATCCCAGAAAAGCTGGCAAGCCAGAGATGTGAAAAATTTGGGAAGCAAGTTTATTTTCAAGGTTTCCAAAGGGCGGGACTGCAAAAACAAGGAAAATATTACCTAAGTACGTAGACACAGTGTCTCTCCATCTAGCATCCAGATGTCATTCTCCAGCCCAGAATAATCACCAGAAGCTCAGAAAAAACTTGGTTCATTCACTTCAGAATTTTCAGTGATTGGATCTTTGCCTGAAGTTACAGAGTTAGGACTTTGGGGAGTCTTAAACCTAGTGCTGGGAGATGGATGTCTAATGGGGCATTGATGGCATTTTCTCCTAATGCAGGACCATGAATGGATCCCAAAACAAATAGGACCCAGATAGTTGCTTAAAGATGTCACCGTTGATTGAGCAATACTAGAGACCTGAATGTACGCCTTCCTGTCTAAAGTCTAGAAAGGGGTTTGTTGTGAGGTATACTTTGTCACTGGATTTTTTTTAAGTACCTTAGTATCCAAAATTAAGTGAATGAAAATACAGATCTAAAATCTCAAGCCAAAATTATTGTGGAAATTCATGTGAGTAAATCTGAGAGGGCTCACGTGTACCCTTAAGCTAAATGTCATGGCAGCAGGAGCACATGTCTAGGGCTGTTCCTCACTTCTTAGAAAATGAGAGCAAGGGGAGGCTTAGTGATTTTATTTTCAGGACACATAGCTTACCCTCCTTTTTAAGAAGGTAACGACCCCCTGGTTGGTTTTTATAGTTCTATGCTTTCAGCACCTGTTTTCTCTTTCAGTCTTTGCAAAACAAGAGCTATAATCACTTTGCTGCCATTTATTTCTTGTTGGTGGAACGTCTGAAATCACATAGGAGCAGTTTTCCCGTGGAACAGAGACTTGATGGCCGCCAGCGCCGGCCTAGCACCATTGCGGAACAAACAGTTGCCAAGGTAACGACCCATGGAGTCATTAGTCTCAGCTGTGCATGAGGCTTTTTATGTTGGACACATTTTCCATCATTTGGTACAAAAGGTACCAAATCTCATCTTTTTTTTTCTTTGATCTCATCTTCTGAAGTATTTTTCTAGAAAGTTTCAACCACTGTCATTCACTAGGTTCTCAAAACTTTAAGCACCTTCCTGCTTCTAAGGATTAACTTTATTTTCATTCCTTTTCTTTAAGAGATGTGTTATCATTTAATCATTTGCTAATCTTGAGAAATAATGTAACTAGCCTGTACTTTCAGTTCATTTAACAGAATTTTATTGCAGATTGACCACGTGCAAGCTGCTGTTACTAGGTGCTCTGGGAGTTTGAATGTATGGAATGCCATCATGTTTCTCAGAGTTGTTCGGTGGGAGCAAAATAAGGCCAGAATCACCTGAGGTCTTGGGCAAGGGCGAGAGGCTCATCTGAATAGGGAGAGCTTCCTGGAAGAGATGACATTTAAAACAGATCTTCACGGAGGTGTGAGACTGATAAAGACATCATTCTGACTAGAAGGAGATACACACAAGGTGAACAGAAGTGCTCACATGGCCTACAGTAGGCATTGTTCCTGTGAATTTAGTCCATTTGAACTGAAGGCTAAGAAAATAAAAATTTGAAGTGGTAAGTGGAAACCATACTGTGAAGAGCTCTAAATGCCAAGGATGACTTATAAATGAGGAAGCAATAACAATCTTATGAAGGCCATAAGCCAGTTAGTATGGGAGCATTGGAAAGGATGGCTTCTTAGGGAAGCGCTGCAGGAGATAGTTGCTTGTTTTGAGACAGGATCTCACTGGCTGGCCTGGAATTTGTTACATAGACCAGGCTGGTCTCGAACTTAGAGACATCCACTTGCCTGTGCTTCCCAAGTACTAGGATTAAAGACATGTGCTACCATGCTCAGTCTGGGAAGAGCAGGAACTTCTGAAGAATACTTCTGAGATTCTTATGCTAATGAGATGCAGGATGCTGAAGACTTAATGTGGTCCTAGTAGAAAGTGAGGGAGGGCTATGAAAGGTGGACCTGAGTGAGCTCGGCACTGACTAGAAAGCTCCCCTTAGTGGTGAAAGTGAGTCCCAGATTCTGTGCCTCACTTTACCTGTTCTAAAACGGCAATGACACTGAATGCTGTAACGAGATGAGCAAATGTGAAGCAAATGCCGAGTGTCTGTTCCACAGCAGAGTTAGAGTGACATTGTCCTTGAAGGCCTGAGGCCACAGTGAGGACATGGCTCAGTGCTAGGAAAGCAATGTGGTCTGAGAGATCTAGGACTCATGTGTAGAGGCTGGGAATGGAGGGCTGTCTTCCCATTAAGATGCCGGCCAGCATCTGTAAGTAGCACTCCCTGTTCAACAGAATCATAAATGTATAGGAATATAAAATTTTACATTGATTCTACAGAAGATGAAAAATAAGGGAATAAAAATTCTTGATTATCTAACATATTATATCTTCTAAATAAAATAATGTATCAATAGAAATGTGAGGGAATAGTATACCAGTATAGCTCCAGATATTTGGATCAGAGTATTTCTGAGCACTTGAGAACTTTTAGAATTGATAACACTGCTTTTAAATAGGTTGGGAAAGGAAAAAGAACTCCTAAGCTGTGTTGATGATAGTGAGCTATGGTGAAGCCCTTCCTACATACAAGTGTGGCCGGACAAAAAGATAGGAAGCAGGATGCCCCTAGTGCAGTAACATACTTTCTCAGCTAAGTTTCTTTATTCTTCTTAAATAGTCCACAAGTGGTATGTGCCTATAATCCTGCACTATGGAGAGGAGACTGTGATGGTGTGTGCTTGTAATCCTGCACTATGGAGAGGAGACTCTGTGATTGTGGGTACCTGTAATCCTAGCCCAGTGAAGCCTGAGACGAGAGGATTCAAGGGCCAATGCCAGCTAGAACTCCAGAATAAGACTTTGACTCCAATAAAAGAAAAAATTGTCAAGGAAAATGTGGTGTGCTTAATCTGATACAACTCAGTCCACCATAGAGAGTCAGAATTCTAAGGAGACAGGACCTTGTGATCAGATGTGGGCATTTCATTTCCAGTGCAGTATTTTCAGGTAAGGCTTTCCCCACTCTTAGGTGGAAGGAACAGGTAAGAAACTGGAAAACTAGAAATCATACCTTTCAGTTCACCCTTTGATTGAAAAACTGCTGATGAGGTAAGAATGTACTAAATGTACTTTAGTAGGAAATGAAAGTATTGCATGGTAGCCAAGAGATTCAATTGACTAATTCTTGAAAGAGAAAAAAGTACCCAAGACATAAGCCCAAAGAAGGATGGAAGAAAAGCTGCTCCATTATCGTGCTCAGATGGTCTGTAGCATTATTTGTGGTGTTTCCCATATACTGTTGTTTAGTTCTTTTTTCATGCACTATATATGATGATATTAGTATCAGATTAAGTATATACTTTAATACTTAAAAATTCAATTAAATACTTAAATATTCAAATGTTTGAAATGTACAGTAAGACCATACATACTCCCTCCTACTTAAAAATTACCAATTTAGCTGAACATGGTGTACATATTTAATCCCAGCATTTGGAGACAAAAGCTACTGGATCTCTATGAGTTCCAGGCTGGCCTGGTCTCCATAGCAAGTTCCAGGGCTACATGGATAGACCCTGTCTCAGAAACATGCAAAAAAAAAAAAAAAAAAAAACCCAACAACAACAAAAATCAGCTTAAAATTCCAACTGGAAGCAATGAAACACCAAAAGTGCATCCATCTTCCTGTCCAGTTGTTTTGTCCTTGGAGTCATTTTAAGACGGGAAGGGAAAGAGAGAATTAACATTGCTAAGCTGAGGGCTTCACATGTTACCTTTTGGTCTTAACTTCACTATGAAGTAGATATTACACTTATTTTTACAAATATAGAAAAGGTTCAGAGAAAGATTGCCTGATTAAAGTCATCGTACAATTAATAAGTGACAGAACTAACAATCAAGCCCACACCTTGAAAAAGAAATAGAATTTCATAGTTTTGTCCCTTTTATTTGTCTGATTTTAAAGTCACCATCCTTTATATCCTTGTAACTGTAGCAGGGCAAACAGAGGCTGTTCCTATTCCTGATATCGTCTGCAGTGACAGTTGACCCCTTGGATGCTTCAGTGTCTGTTATGTTCAAGATAGATCTAAGAAATGATTCTGCCAGTTCTTAAGGACCATCCAGGAGCTTCAGCAGTAAAATCCATCATGGCCAATTGTGAAAAGGAAAGGCTCTTTTAAATGATTTTTTAAAGAAGAGTATGATCCTTGTTTATTTAAAGCACTTAACAAAGGAGACAGAAGAATGGTTGAACTACCCACAGGAAGCCAAGGGTGGTGGTGGCACCCTATACCCCAGAACTTAAGAGGTAGAAGCAGTAGCCCCAAGTTGATAAGAGAGAAAAGACAGACTAGACCCAGAGCTCTGTTTAGAAGGCTGGTTTCAGGAACAGGATTCTGTAGCAATAAGTGTTTCTTCAGACTGCGTCTTTTCAAAGGAAGGGGATCTTCCTGTCACCTGAGTAACTGCTTCTCTCCCCTTCTTTTCATGAGGAAAAGAAATAGGAGAAAAAAAAAAAAAAAACCAGTTACTTCATGTACCTTCTTTATAGCTAGCTGTATCTGGCCCTGGCTCATTGTTGAGTTCCTATACTCTGGGCAATTTATCTTTCTTTCTTTCTTTCTTTCTTTCTTTCTTTCTTTCTTTCTTTCTTTTAAATCTTTCAGTTAGTATATTTAAAGAAAGAAAAAAAATAGAACTTTGTTGAATTGAGACAAAGATAATTCTTTGATTCCTTACAAAGGCTATCTAGATTGTTGCCTGTGTGAAAGGTATATCTCTCATTATGAGATAGGAACAAAATTCTGTACAGTTTATTTCAGAATGTCTGATTATTGAGACTTAAATTAGTGCTCACCGTGCATGTGCATGCACACATACATACACACTCACAACTGAGTCTTCTGGAGTTCCAGTGGATAACACTTTATCTTTTAGTCACCTTAAGAAGACTTACTAGTTGTAAGAGAAGTGTGCATGTGTATAGAACAAGAAGTAACAATGTTTCCACACTGTCTGTTCTTGCCATATTTTCAGGCACAAACTGTGGGACTCCCAGTGACCTTGCATTCACCGAACGTGAGACTGATGCGATCTACCCTCCTCCCACAGGCATCCAATGTGGAGGCCTTTTCATTCCCAACATCCAGCTGTCAAGCAGAAGCTGCCTTTATGGAGGAAGAGTGTGTCGACACTCCTAAGGTACAGCTAGTGTGCTTGAGATGCAGTGCAGAGTGGCTGGAGACTTGAGTTTGGAGTATAGTGTTGTAGTGTGGTTCTGCTGGGTGTGCTTTGGTGAAGAACTCTATTAAAATGTCTAAAGATCAGCTCTCATCAATTCAATAACAACTCTCAGGCCACATAAGCCCTCTACTTTTCCTTCCCTGACCAGTTCCTCTTCTCTCCCAGGTCCTAAGATCTCTCGTAAGTGTTTTGGGTGCATGAGTGGATGGGTAGGGTATGTTGGTTGATTTAAAAACAAAAGATCACCTTTTCTACTGGTTACACTTTGTTATTGTTGCCTCTCTTCAGCGCAGCAAACTGTAAATACAAAGTGATAGGATGTTGAAATAGGAAGGGGCAGGGCTGCGTCCCCAACACCCCGGCCGCTTGGCTAGCTTATGCCCGAAATAACAACACACAAACTGTATTCATTTAAGAGCTGCTTGGCCCATGAACTCTAGCTTCTTATTGGCTAGCTCTTACATATTGTTCTAACCCATTTCTAGTAATGTGTGTAAGCACCCCAAGGTGCGCTTACCGGGAAGATTCTAACCTATGTCCATGTTGGGTCGGAGCTTCATCGCGAGTGCCTCAGAGAGCTATGGAGAGAGCAGAGCTGTCGAGTCTCTCCGGGAACAGAGCAGAGTCTGACCTCACTTCCTCTTCCACCCAGCATCCTATTCTGTTTCTTCCACCCACCTATGTTCTAAGCTATGAGGCCAAGCAGTTGGTTTATTATAATTAACCAATTACCTTCCTCCATCAATAGGATCTCTTTTTGACTGAGCAGACATCCTTTTCGGTTCAGCTTGGGCATGCTTTAAGGGTTTAGTTTGTATTTGGTGCATTGTATAAAGTTGACTGTTAGGAAATGGAAGATAACTGCTTTCATACAGTGGCTTTTTTCTGACTTCTAATATAAGTGGTATATACTCAGTACCAAGTGCAGTACATATGATCATATTAATAGAAAACTGTCATAAAATAGAGGCCTTGGAGTGTGCTAAACTGCTCTTTACTAAGCTGTGTGAATTTGGACAAGGTTACTCTCTTTCCTCTGTATAAACTAGGATACCCATTTTAGGAGACTGTTAAGAGAATTAAGTAAGATAATCTGTGTAGTTTAGGGTAGATTTTAAATAGTCAACAACTAGTTTTACCATGTTTTGGCCTCTTTAGATAATAAAAACATGAATCGGTCATGAACTTGCCTGCTAGACTGTGGTCTAACAAATAGGATATTAGATGGAACTGAAACAGCATGCCAGCTGCTTAATAAATTGATAACATTGTCACATAAGTCAGAGTGAACCTCGGAAGAGGCAGAGGATTTAACTTTGTACTTGATCAGGAAAATTTGGGGGTAACTCTCAGAGCTGGAGCTGCAGAGTCGAGAGAATCCTCAGGTCTGGAAACGAGAGTGGGACATCTTCAGTGAAGGGAAGAGCTGTTCAGAAGCAAGTTATAGGTAATCAGGTTCAACCAACTCGAGTAGTTTTTCAGTCTGAAGGAAAGGGCATGTAAAAGAAAACCTGTAGAAGTAAAGATGTATGTGTTAGTTTTGAATGGCAAGCAAGCAGTTTAGGTCTCTGGGCAGTGTTCTAGGTGTGGAATGTGGTAAAGTATAGGTGAGTCAGCTGATAGGATAGTCAGCACAACTGAAGATTTCTGAGCAAGGAAACACTACATGGATCCTGTTCTTGGAAATTCTGCCTGAATGGTTCTCTAGCAAGCACAGGCTAGGGGACAAAAAAAGGGGGGGAGGTAAGCATGGTTCAGCAGGGCCTGAAATATGGAAATGACCATTGAAATGCGAGAAGAGGGGATGGTAGCAGTGGGGTTGAAAGGATAGAATTCCAAACCTCCAGCAATATTTTGAGCCTAGACAAATGGGAAATGCCATTCAGTTGAGACCTCTGGATGTCAGGCAGACTCCTAAGTTACACAAGCCTAGCTGGAGCACAGTGGCAGTGGCAGCTCCATGCCAGACTGTCAGAGCAGGTGTTAAGCCAAGTTGCTGAACAGGAATAGTTACTGTCCAGCTCTAAAGATGAGTCTGCTTCCTGTGGACAGTCTGTTTTCTATGCCCTGTGTTTGCCTAGCATTACACATTAGTGCTATATCCATGCTCAGCATTTAGACATAAATTAGGGCAGCATAATTCGTTTTTAAGATCTAATTCTCTTGAAGAAATTAAAATGCAGTGTGTTGAAGTCTTGTCTGTAAGGGCACCAGGCCCAAAACACAGATTGGGCACTGTCTGCTATAATATATAGGGCAAGCTATTTTTAAAGCTTGTGATTGTTACAGTTACTAGGAAACAGACAGGAAATGAATGGTTTTGCAAAAGATATAGACAGTTGCTAGATGGTATATTCTCATTTGTAAGAATAAGAGTGTCAATCTGAAACTGGCTCCCACTCTGGCAATGCCACCATGAATTCATACAAGCCATAAACATCCACAGGACTTACTGTGGATAGTTTATTATGTCCTTCTGGCTGCCTCTTTCTTTGAGGCCCATAATCAAATGCACACACAAAAGAACCTTTTACTTCTTTTGTTTATATTGCTTCATATACATTCACTATAACCCAGCTGTTTTCTGAAAGAAATATCATAGCTGTATATATTGATAATTCCATTTCTGCTTGCAGTCAAGGACTAGTACTGTACATTTTTTTAAACATCACCTCTCCTTCCCTTAATTGTTAGGAAAATCTCTTAAGGAGTCTGTCTTGAAACTTTGACTTGGGATTTCTGGGGCAGGAGGGGAAGGCATCTTTCTGAGAAGTAACTGAAACCCTAAGGACATAGGGCCCATAGAGGAAAGGCAGTTGCACAAACTGTAGAATAAATCTCCTGTGTACACACATTTCAGTCCATGTGGAACACTATTAAGAGACTGGAATAAAAAGATTTCCAAGTTCACACCTTCAGTAGCTGGTTGGCGAGGAACCCATGAGATAAACCTTGCAAATGCAAGTGTGGTGGAGACATCCTGTGTCTAATTGCACCTTAATACCTACACCATGAAAGTGGTACATACGAGAGAAGACTGGAAAAGTAAACACTCCAGAATCTTAGTAGTGTTAACCTCTAGAGGCTTTAGGGGAGAAATTTCACTTTCACTTCTGAATTTAAAATTTCAAATTACAATCTGAAATAAAAATAAATAAAACTAGTCATAATCATGCATGATAATAAGAAGAGAATAAAGATAAAATTAATTTAGCTATAATCTCACTATTCAAAGATAACCCATTTGATGTCATACTATAAATTGGTGGGTAAGATGTAGGACTCAGTAGAAGGGAAGAGTCTTAAAATTATTCTCTATTCTGTGTAATTCTATATCTTCTGTATCTTATGAGAATTTTTCCATGTCATGAAGCAGTATTTGTAGGCATAAGCTTTAACAATTATGTAATCTGTTGCTTTATACATCTCTTTAACTGAATGCTTTAGCGGGCTTTTTCTTTTGTGCCACCAACCAACTCCCAAATCATGACATGGAAACTTATTATTAGTTATGAATGCTCGGCATTAGCTTAGGCTCATTTCTTGCTGGTTTTTTAACTTACCCTATTTCTCTTCACCAACATTTTGTCTCGGGGCTTTTTATCTTTTTCTTTCTTTCTATATGGCTTATTTTCCTGCTTCTCAAGTCTGACTGGCAGCTGCCTAGCTTCTGACCCTGTGCGTGTTCCTCTCTTTCTCCCGCATTCTCTTCTCTTCCCTCTTTTTCTACTTAAGGCTGGAGATCTCCTCTTATTTATTCTTCCTGCCCACCAGCCCCACCTATCCCTTTTCTGCCTAGCTATTAGCCAATCAGCTTTTTATTAGGCCAATCAGATGCCTTTGGCAGGCAAGGTGAAACAAATGTAACACATATTTACATAATTAAACAAATGCAGCATAAACAAATGTAACACACTTTCACATAGTCAAAGTAATATTCTGTGGTTGGAGGCTGCTCGTTTGTTCCCTGCCACCCAGACCCAAAATAATCACACAGAAACTGTATTAATTAAAACACTGCTTGGCCAATCATCACTTAGGCATATTGTTAGCTAGCTCTCATATCTTAAATTAACCCATTTCTATTAATCTGTGCATCACCATGAGGTTGTGGTCTACCGGCAAGGTTCCATCAAGTTCCCATGGGCATTGTTCTCCTATGACGGCTACATGGCATCTCTCTGACTCCACCTACTTTCTCCAGCATTTAGTTTAGTTTTAAACCTAGCTCTGTTCTGCCCTGCTGTAGGCCCCAAGTAGCTTCTTTATTCATTAACCAATAAATTCATAAATTGAATAAATTCATTAACCACAGTAAAAACAAATGTAACACTGATGTAGGAGGGTCTTCTATCTATCTGTTGTTTCATTGGTTAATTAATATAAAGAAAACTGCTTGGTCTGATAGGTTAGAACATAGGTGGGTGGAGTAAACAGAACAGAGTGCTGGGAAGAAGGCAATGAGGCAGATGCTATAGCTCTCCTCTCCAAGATGGACGCAGGTTAAGATCCTTCCCGGTAAGCCATCACCTCATGGTGCTACACAGATTATTAGAAACTGGTTAATCAAGATGTGAGAATTAGCCAGTAAGAGGCTAGAGCTGATGGGCCAAGCAGTGTTTAAAAAAATACAGTTTCCGTGTAATTATTTTGGGTAAAGCTAGCCAGGTGGCAGAACACAGCCGCCCCCCCCCCCATCACTACATAACACATCTTTGCTTGGTTAACCTAATATTCTACAACAAAACACCTCTTGTTGAACACAGTTATTTCCTTTACCTTGCAGCCTTAAATAGATTGATGGTAGTTAATTTTAGGTCCAAATCTGTAACTACTGTGCCCTGTTACTTAAGTACACATTTCTAAGCCAAGTGTTAGTGCACATATAGCCAGGACTTAGTAGAATGGGGCAAGAGAACAGAAGTACAGAGGCACTTGGGGCTCTATAGCAAAGCACCGGCTTTAAAAAGAATTTTTCTAGCATTGTAATTCCTTTCTTTACTTCTTCACCTGTTTAATTTGACTCAAGTGGAGGGGGGGAGAAAGTGTTGTAACGTTATTCTTATGCTTTGTTATTGAAAAGCACTCCCCTTTGTTTAAAAAAATCAACAAGGTGTATTGAGCTGTAAAGGAACTATTATTTTTTTTCTGAATTACATTAGCTGATTCTCCCAACAACTTTACAACTATTTTACAAATGAAAAAAAAAAAAAGAGCTTAATTGGAGCCTAAGCAACTGACTTGCAAGTGACGAAGCTTAGCACCTGCTCAGCATGTGCCCCATTTGCCAGGCACATGGAATGCAATGGAATAAGGTCCGTTTCTCTCTTCCAACTCACTGGCTTATATTATGCTTGGTGTACTGTATGGACCTGCTCACCTGCCCATGAAATACCATAAGCTGCATAGCTTAAACAACAGAAATTTTGTTTCTCATAGTTCTGGATGCCAGAGGGCAAGATAGAGTTAGTTCCAGCTGTTTCTGTTTCTAAAGAAGTCTCCCTCCTGTTTTTAGATAGTCACCTTTTCACTCTGTCTTGAGACATCACACAGTCTTTCCTGTGTGTCAAGGGGTAACTGAGAACAAACTCTCTGATGTTTTTTCTTTTTTTTTTTTTTTTTTTGGGAGACAGGATCTCACTGTGAAGCCAAGGCTGGCCTCAGACACTTAACCCTCTTGCCTTAGCCTCCTGAGTGCTGGGATTATAGGTATGTACCACCATACCTGGCTTTGTTTGTTTGTACCCTTTCTTATTTTATTTTTTTAAATGTGTTCTATTTTGAATTGTGGGTATGTGTCTGTGGGTATGTATATGTGAGTGTTGGTGCCCACAGAGGCGAGAGGTATCAAATTCCCTAGCGCTGGAGTTACAGGTGGTTGTGAGCATCTTGAGTGCCGGGAAGCAAACTTGGATCGTCACAGTATGCATCTTAGCTGCTGATCTTTCTCTCTGGCCCTCAATGTGCCTTTTCTTATAGAGATGCTAATCCTATTGGGCCGGGGCTTTGCTCACTTACAGGCCCCATCTCCAAATATAGTCACCTTGGGAATTAAGGTCAACATACCAATTTAGAAAGGCAGGTTCGAAGGCTTTCTGAGTCAGTGCTGGGGCCTCTGAGAGCTTTGACTGCTGTATGTATATCATCTATTGCAAATGAAGTCTCTGGAAAAGAAAGGGTTAGAAACTATACATTTTGCCCACATTTTGAAATCCTCTCATTTAATCTGTCTAGAGTATTTCTAGAGCATAAATTCTTATTTGTAGCAGCTATGTCATTTATGTAGATTAGCCCAGCATTTTAGTCATACATCCTTGTAGACTGTCTTAGTATATGGGTGAGGGGCTTTGAAGTTTGAGTTCTGCACCATTCTTGCTCTCAGGAAGATGATGAAATACACTAAAGAGGAAAACTTATCTGGGTTATTTTACAGTCAAGTCCGTGGGTAAATTAGCGTGGTTGCTGTCCTGGTTAGTTTTTTGTCAACATGACACAAGGTCAAGTCATTTGGTAAGAGGGAACCTCAGTTGAGAAATGCCCACACCAGATTGACCTTTGGAACATTTTCTTATTAATGATTGATGGAGGAGAGCCCAGCTCACTGGAGGCAGTCCCACCCCTGGGTTGGTGATCTTGGATGTTATAAGAAAGTAGGCTGAGCACGCCATGGGAGCAAACCAGCAAGCAACATTCCACTGTGGCTTCTGTTTGAGTTCCTGCCTTCAGGTTCCTGCTCTGGCTTCCCTCAGTGGACCATGCCCTGGGATATATAAGCCAAATAAATCCTTTCCTCCCAAGATATTTTTGGACATGTTTTATCACAGTAATAAAAATTCTAGCTAAGTATGATGGTCAGCTGCTTCAGGAAACCTACTCATGGCCAGAGATGCTTACCCATAACTGTCCCCAAATGAAAAGTCTTCAGTGAAAAACCCAGCCATTGTTTTATATCTGGAAGAGACTTTATTCAGACATATTTCCTCTTCTGGTTTAGATGAGATAATAAGGTTATATTGTGACAGTTTACAAATTCATAGGAAGCTGGCTTGTTTGACTAAGTCAGGAAAAGGTAACATCTATGCTGAGGGAAAGAAAGAGCTTGCTTACACCACGGGAGGTGAGAAGTGCATTTGACAAAGGCTGCACATGTAAGGGTGCTGAGTAGATAATTGCTTTAAAAGGTCTTGAGAGCCTTAGCAAGCTGACAGTGGACTGCTAAGGAGTCTAGAGCAAGAGTTGTTGGTCATTCTTTCCTGTAAGAAAACTATTAAATATAAAAGATACACGTATCTGGCCTGGGCCAAGAAGAGAATGACAGCTGCTAGCCAGATTTCAGAATTCCTGCTTTCTATACCATGAGAAGATTGGTGTGATCTGGGGAGAAAGCATCAGCCACCTTACCAGCATGAAAGCTCTCGCCTCAGATGCTTGTGGAATCAGCTCCTCCAAGCAAACAAAGCTCTGAGTCACCCTACTCCCTCTCCATAAAAAGGACCTTGCAATGCCTTCTGCAGCTGCCGTAAGAGGAAAGCCTCCTGTGCCTGGCATAGGGCAGTTCCATGTCACTTCTCACATATATGAGCTGCCTCTGCCTCAGTGGAAACAATAGCTCTACCCAGTGGGTTCCAATTGAAAGTACCACAGAGAACTGACTCCTTTGCGGGCTGCTCCTGAGCAGCTATTCATAGGAGAAAGCGGATTGATTTCCACAGGGGAATAGTTAAAGTAATGAGGTAAATAATTGCCTGCTCTTTGGGGCTTTTACCAGCCAGAACTTGAAACCACAACTCCCCTTTGTCTGCTGTTTTGCTGGCCATTAGGTGGTTTGCTTGGCAACTGTGGGAAGGCAGTGTGCTCATTCAGGATCTGTGCCGAGCTCTCCCTATGGGATAGGCTCGTAGATGGTGTGTGAACTGCTAGTGGGTGAGGATTCCGTGCGCTGGGGCTTATTAATCTCTGCTGGAATTAGGAGCCGTGAGTCATTTGTTATTCTATAATGGAAGGTCTTGGCTGTTTGCCATTTGAATTTTTTCAGTCTTTTTTGTGGTATCTGTCTGGCTACAAAAAATTCTTACTTTCCATTCCTTAGGCACATTTGGATCAATTTAAAAACAAAATATCAAATAGATCAGTACTTAAGGTATGAACATAAAAGTATACCCAGAACCAGTATGTTTTGTGGTTTTGAGAATTAGAATGTCAGTGACTATTCTCTCAGCTATGAGACATTGCTCTAGAAGTGAAAAGAAGCTCATCTTCCTCTTCTGTTTTCCTTATTTAAAAAATAATAATAACTGGTAAGCCTTAAGCCAGCACATTCTATTCATCTGTAAGGCACTGGAAAAGTGATGACTCAGAGTAACCTGGTGGCAGTGCCAGTCTGGGTCTCTGCGCATTGTAGTTGACTTGCCTTCATTTCTTATGGCTGTGCTGCCATTGCAAGTAAATGCATACACTTTAATATTTTACTTTATTTCTCGTTTGCCTTAATTAAGTCTTGGACTATTTTTCTGTTGTGGGTGTTCCTCAGCAGAGCAGCAACTGAGTTTCCTCTCACACTGACAGGTGAATGGCTGTCTGCTTGACCCTGTGCCCCCTGTCCTGGTGAGGAAGGGATGCCAGTCACTGCCCAGCAATATGATGGAGACTTCCATTGATGAAGGCTTGGAGACAGAAGGAGAGGCTGAGGAAGACACCAGTCAGGCCTTTGAAGCTTTCCAGGCCACACGGAGTGGGCAGCGACGGCACACTCTGTCAGAAGTGACTAACCAATTGGTTGTCATGCCTGGGGCAGGTATGGTATCCACCAAGTTAAACCCTTACAGCATCATTTCATACTTCATGCATTAAGAAATAGCAGCCAGCCGGATGGTGGTGGCATACACCTTTAATCTCAGCACTCAGGAGGCAGAAACAGGGGGATCTCTATGAGTTCAAGGCCAGCCTTATCTACAAGAGCTAGTTCCAGGACAGTCTCCAAAGCGACAGAGAAACCCTGTCTTGAAAGGAAAAGAAAGAAAGAAAGAAAGAAAGAAAGAAAGAAAGAAAGAAAGAAAGAAGGAAGGAAGGAAGGAAGGAAGGAAGGAAGGAAGGAAGGAAGGAAGGAAGGAAGGAAGGAAGGAAGGAAAGGAAGGAAGGAAGGAAGGAAGGAAGGAAGGAAGGAAGGAAGGAAGGAAGGAAGGAAGGAAGAAATAGTGGTCATGCTCACCAAGTTCTGAATTTCATCCATAGTCCCTTCCTTTACAGAGCAGATGCCATGGACTGTGGATCAGGTCTACTCAGCAGCTGATAGAGATTAAAAGGCAACGTCTCTGAGTTGACAGTGTACTTATGGCTCTCTTCAAGGCCAAGATCTTATAACTATAGTTTCTATAGAGTTTTTCTCACCAAATTTGAAGATGGTTAAACTAACCAGTAAAAGCATTCTGGAAAGATGGAGGATGGTTTGTGGTGCTGGACTGGTCTTGAGCATGTTAGGCAGCTCTTCTGCCCCTGAGTTACACTTAGGATCACCAGCCCTGACAGGAATTTTTGTTTTAGGTGAGTTTTCTGTTTTCTAGACTTGTGAGTACTCCAGTCGTCTTGCCCATCCTGAAAGATTGCAGCTGTCAAGACTAGAGTCTGCCATTTTGTCTTGCTATTTGTCAGTGTGTTTAAAGAAGTTCTATCGGTTTAGGTAGTATCTGTTTTACTTTTTTCTACAGGGAAAATTTTCTCTATGAGTGACAACCCCTCCCTTGACAGTGTGGACTCTGAGTACGATATGGGGTCTGCCCAGAGAGACCTGAACTTTCTGGAAGACAGCCCTTCCCTGAAGGACATCATGTTAGCTAACCAGTCTTCACCCCGCATGGCATCTCCTTTCATAAGCCTCAGACCTACCAACCCAGCCATGCAGGCTCTGAGCTCTCAGAAACGTGAGGTCCACAATCGGTCCCCCGTGAGCTTCCGAGAAGGCCGCAGGGCATCAGACACTTCCCTTACCCAAGGTAAGTGCTTTCTTTTCTGGCTTTGAAAACTTGAACCAGAGATATGGAAGAAGGTTGTTGTCTTGCTGGTATGAATGTATAACTAAAAGGCTTATTTTGCTTTGTAAACTGTTTGATGTTTGTATTTTGCAGGAATTGTAGCATTTAGACAACATCTTCAGAATCTTGCTAGAACCAAAGGAATTCTGGAGTTGAACAAAGTACAGTTGCTCTATGAACAAATAGGATCAGAGGCAGACCCTAACTTAGCATCAGCTGCTCCTCAGCTCCAAGACCTCTCGAGCAGTTGTCCTCAGGTGAGTGTCCAGGCTCTTCCGAGCACCACACTTGTCCTACAGATGTGTGGTTTTTCAGTTAGAGAGTATCCTCCTAGACCTAACTAAGCTAGCTTTATGGGGAATCCCAAGGTCTCAGAGGTTTTCATGCTGCTCCCAGATGCTCAGCACCAGACAGAGGCCTATAGACTCAATGTGGTTTGGGTTCAGAAAGCAGGCAGATTATATATGGACGGTTCATTCTCCCTTCACCACACACACACACTGATGATGATGAACATCAGCCAGTTGAGAAGCTTCTTGCCACTACTTTTGATGTGAAATCACTATTAAATATGAAGATTAGTCACATTAAAAATACAACAAATGTTGCTATTATTTGAGCCAATATTCAGTGCATCAAAGATAGTGATAGTATCATCTTCTGGGCTCACATGTATATAAGCACCTTCTTAAGATACCAGGCAGATGCTTCTGTTCTAATCTAATACTGACTAGGTAATAGTTGTTAACTTTGTACAGATTCTCTGAAAGTGGCCTTCAAGCTACTAGTTAGGTAAAAGCTTTGGGGTATTAGGTCATGTGGAGCCCAGAATCCAGTAGTCATTTGCAAAGGTGCTTAAACTATAAACTAAGACTTCCTCACATAGAAATTGAAATGTCCACTGCCTTGATCCTTAGGAGGAAGTCTCTCAGCAGCAGGAAAGTGTCTCCACACTCTCTGCCAGCATGCATCCTCAACTATCTCCACAGCAGAGCTTGGAAACCCAGTACCTACAGCATCGACTCCAGGTGGGCTCCTTCATGCTCTAGGTTTATCTCACTTTGTCACAGAACCCTGGTTTGCATTATTTAAGGTGACTGATTTATCCCTTATAGGCAAGTAGATTTAACCCTACATGAGTAGTTTCTAGAAACATGTTCAGACTTAGCTTTATGTCCTGTGCTGGCAGTAGGAAAGGATATACCACCGAATGCTAGAAAAGAGAGACTTGGCTTGTTTCTAATTCTGTATTTGTGAATAATAAGATGGGATCTCTAATATACAAAATGCTAACAAGGCTGTCTACATTGGTGCATGAAGATCCTAAGAAATGGTACAACATAGATCCCATTCAGAATGAGTCGCTCTGCAGGCACTAGGTTTCTCATTGTTCTCCATGAACTTCCTTGTCCTGGAGAAACTGCAGAAGTAGGAAACAACTAGGCTAGCACTAGATGCCAAGGTCTGCTGACCTGGTGCTCTTCCAGGGTCTTAGTGCACAGTGCAGTGCCTTCATTCTGGATTCTGGAGGCCACATCTGGATTTACCATCCAGACAGGCATCCAAAGGATACACATGAGCTGCATTCAACTGACAGCATATGGTTAGGCTCTTGTTGCTTTTCTGATCTTCCAGAAGCCCAGTCTTCTACCAAAGGCCCAGAATACTTGTCCAATATATTGTAAAGAACCACCTCGGAGCCTGGAACAGCAGCTACAGGAACATAGGTAAGGAAGTCTTGGCCAGTAAAGTCAGTTGTTTTCATAGCATCCTGGAGAATGGTATATTGTCCTTTTCCTTCTAGTTGTTTCTCCTAGGACCATGCACTGGCACGTGGTCATTTTCTGTTTAGACATGGTGTTAATGAGGCTGTTGAGAATCCTAGAGTATAAGCCTGTCAGACGAGGTGACCCCCTATGTACTTTGCCATTTGTATTTATCTGGGATATGATCAGTCCTAAGATTTCAGAAGCAGTGACCTAAAGCAGTTGGTTACGCTGATGAGGCTTTCCCCTTGGTGGTCTTCGTGCCTGCTGGCCCCACCAGTAGAAGCTGCTTGGCTAAGATAAAATTGCCCTAATCATCACCCCACCTGCTCACAGAAGCCAAGATGTTAACCTTTTTTTGAGCAATCTTCATGAGTAAATTGGCCTCTCTAGAGCAAGAAACTTGAGAGAAAATGCATCAGTGCTCACTTGAGAGGAGTCAGTCAAATAGGGGCAAATGCACGGTAGTGAATTCTTACTCTGAGTGGAAAAGAGATGAGGGTGTCGCATGTGATGGAGCATGCCTAGAATTCCTAGCTCTAGGTCAGGAAGATCACAAATTTGAGGCCAGCCTGAACTATATAGAAGATTCTCAGAAATAAAACAGAAAAGAAAGGGAAAGAGAAGTTAATGCCTGGTATTGAATTTACATTGAAATTACATTCACTTGAGATGTAAAATGCTTTTTCGGTGTTGCCAATTTAGGCTTCAACAGAAGCGACTCTTCCTCCAGAAGCAGTCTCAGCTACAAGCGTATTTCAATCAGATGCAGATAGCCGAGAGCTCCTACCCTCGACCAAATCAGCAGCTGGCTCTTCCCCATCAGGAGACTTCACCGCCATCCCAGCAGCCCCCACCATTCAGCCTGACCCAACCCCTGAGCCCAGTCCTCGAGCCCTCTTCTGAGCAGATGCAATTTAGCCCTTTCCTCAGCCAATACCCAGAGATGCAGTTGCAGCCCCTGCCCTCCACACCCAGCCCCCGGGCTCCACATCCCTTACCCTCACAATTGCAGCAGCCACCCCCACCGCCTCCTCCTCCACCACCTCAGCAGCCAGGAGCTGCTCCAACCCCCTTACAGTTCTCCTATCAGACTTGCGAGCTGCCAAGCACCACCTCCTCTGCACCAGACTACCCTGCTCCCTGTCACTATCCTGTGGATGGAGCCCAGCAGAGCAACCTCACAGGCGCGGACTGTCCCAGGAACTCAGGACTTCAGGAGACCCCATCTAGCTATGACCCGCTGGCCCTCTCTGAGCTCCCTGGACTCTTTGATTGTGAAATGCTAGAAGCCGTGGATCCACAACACAATGGGTATGTCCTGGTGAATTAATCTCAGCACAGAAAGGAAGGTGGCTCTAGTGAAGGCAGGCTGTTTATCTTTTAATTCCAGCCCTTTAAAGTTTATTTTTTTCCCCTTTTCCCTGGTAGGAAAAAAATCAAGTTCCCAACTGGAATCAGGGTGTGACTGGGGTAGATGTTCCTCCTGGCTCTGCCCCACCACAAGATTGTCTGTGGCAAGGGCTGAAGCACATGCCCTTTGATAAAGTGGAGCACACTCTCAGGGGGCTACCAAGAAATGTTCGTATAAAATGACAACATACAGACCTAGGTTTTACACCAATTTATTTCCAAGGAAGGCCTTGGTAAAAGCAGTAAAAATGTGTATGTTGCATATACATACATAGGGTAAAGGAAAAGGCAGCATATTTCACTAAAGCCAAGCAACAACAAAGTACTCCAAGAGTACATCATGAGATCTGATGCGCAGGGAAGAAAAGAGAGTTGTGCATTGTTGTAAAATCCTAAGTTCTTAGCTGTTGATGCAAGATGTCGCAGAATAGTGGAGCCTGAGGTGTTTCAGGGACACTAAGCTCACACTGACCCCCTGAAACCTGCAGTCATCTCTCTGGGAGCACATGATAATGCCTTTTCAAAAGTGCCCCTGGGTGGCCAAGTATTAAAATGCTCAGGACTCCAAAGCTCTCACCTGTAGAGACAACAGGAGACCTGTCACAGTAGAGACTAAAGCAGAATCCAGAAAGCATCAGGAACTCAGGCCCAAGCTGGGAAGCCAGGCTCTTCCTGCACAACCTCCTGTCTGCTACCCTGTAGTAACCCCTCTGGCTCTCCGCTCTGTGTTGTTAGGAGCTTATGGAGCTTTGCATAGTTGGACAGTTTTGTGTAGTTTAGATGTCTTTATGTCCTGTGTGAAGCAGCAGTGCTGTGCCTTCCCCAGCCTCATCAGACTTTTTTTTTCTATAGAAACCAAGTTTTCCATTCATGTCCTTGGTTAATCCAAAGTCACTTCAGTTTGCTTTCCACCATGTGGGAATCAAAAGTCTTAATTTCCTTAAGGTTTTGATTTGTGTGAAATGTTCAAGTATTACAGTAATATTCAAAGAACCACAGATGTGTTAGCCATTTACTAGAAAAGCTTAACCTTTTAATTCACTCATCAAAAGAGCTGAAAAATAGATGCTATCGCTAGTCGACTAGATAGCAAGAAGTAATCAGTAATGTCATTTGCACAGTGACATCCAGGTGTTACAAACTCAGTATTATTTATAAAAATTATAATTTCTATTCTTTAGAGTGGCTTGTCCTATCAGCAGATGAATGCACTAAGCACAAAGCGTCTTCCTTAAAGCACAAGAAGAGAGCTACTACACTGATGCTGCATCTAGAAACACCTATAAGTTGCCTTTCCTCTCTGTAGTAAGTGTCCAGGCAGGCAAGGGAAGACTAGGCATGGGAAGTCTACGGAGAGCCATCCTGGTCACCAGCCCAACCCCTGCCAGTGGTGGCGATTCAAGCATCTTTGAGGCTGGCCAGAGACTGTAGTTGTTGGGTCCCCACTGGTGCCAGGCTGCTTTGCAAATGCGCTCTGCTTAGAATTGGGCTGTGGGTGTCAGCAGGAATGGATAGCAGGAGGGACTGTCATTTTTGTGATTTAATAACTGAAAATCCAGTAAGGATAAATTGTGTTTCTCTTATTGATTCTGTTCCTCCTCATGCTTAAGATTGATGATTTTGTGAGATAAAGAACATCATTTCATTGGAGAGATCATTTCATTAAGATCTCTAATACGTTTTAAAGCTTTGCAGAATAAGCCAGCTATAAAACGGGGCTTGATTTGTTTAGACTGGAGGAGGATGTTTTCCCAAAATATACTGCAGAAGCGCTGTAATATTGACAAATGAAAATGCCTTCCAGATTGAAAATGGGGGCCGCTCATTTCAGGACTGCAGGAACAGCACCGCTACAGATTGGCATAAACCCCTGCCCCCCAACAGGGCTGTGAGCTGCTTAGCCCAGGAGACCTAGCAGCTATGGCAGGACAGTTAGGCGACAGATGAGGGGCTGCGGAGAGGCTGACAGAAGGTTAAAGGCTGCAGAGAGAAGCCGGGAGCACCCATCAACAGCCAGCCTGTTAGGCACTGACACACAGAGTGGAGGTGAGGACAGACGCCTGGCGAAGAACACGAACCCTCCTGCTGGATCTTGTAAGCTCCCGTGTGCTCCTCTCACTCTTTTCCAGTGGAAGTCCCTAACTCCATGGCTATCTTTACTTCCTGAGATGGAAGCTGGTGAGAGCAGATGGGCTCTGATGGTCACTCGTCTGATTGCTTCTGTTGTTGTCCCCTAACTAGTGACCATGGAAGCTTCCAAGCCATTTCTCCTCACAAGTACTAAAGTAACACTAAGAAGGCTTAGGCCCACTCTTGCTGAGAGGCAGCTTTGAAATACTGACATGCTCGCCTGTCAATTCACATCAGCAGTGTGTACACTACTGTATAGTAACCCTTAGCTTTGTTATCTTGTAAACCAGCCTCTCCAAAGAGACTGGTGATTCAAACATGAGGTAAAATTTTCATTTGGCAAAAGTGCAATATGTGTGGTACTTTTTTTATTTTTGTTTATGGTCTTTTGTTATCCAGGTATCACTCTCTGCTTTGGGGGAAATGCATTAGTTCTGCAGTCTCCAGTTGGGCAAGTGTGTCTCTAGTATTTACATGCAACTGACATGCTGGTCCCTGTAAGGCAAACAGAGGGTATTAATGCAACAGGAAGATGACAGGTTGTGGGGTCCCACTCCTCTGTTCCCGGGGAGCTACCTGACCAGTGCCAGCCCTCACTGTGCCCTGACTTGGCCTATCTGAACTGCCACCTTTAGAACAAAGACAGGGACAGTTCTGTGTTCACAACCCTCCAGAATCTACCCAGTGGGAGATACTGAGGACCCAGGAAAAGCCTCTGGGACTGATGGGAGGTATCAGAGCTAATCGGAGCAAAGCCCTTTCTTTCACTTGGCATCCTCGGAAAAAGAAAGCCAGGTCAGAAGTGTTTAAACCCTGTCCTGGTATCGGGGAGGTAGGACTTCAACCTTTGCCTGCCATACCCCCTCCTAACCTGCATTGTTACAGGGCCTCTACCCCATAACTCCAGTACAACCCAACCAGTGAAGAGACACCCTCTGCCTTGCCCCAGAACTCTGATAACTAGGGCACTCAACAAGGACTTATGGCAGGCCTCTCTACCTGTTCCCCGGAGCCATTATACCTAAGGCAGAGAAACTAGAACTGGGGGAAAGGGTGTGTTCTCAGCTGGAAAATGACAAAGTGAGAAACCAGAAACTGAAGGAGCCCAGAAAGTAGCAGTTTCTAGGCCAGATGATCAAGGGTCCCAAGTGTGTGTGCCAGCAGCTCAGAACATGGGGACCCAGTGGGCTCGCCCTCCCTCTATGGGATTCCCTAGAATCTAAACAAGCCTGCTTCTTAAATATATGAGGAGCAGAGTTTTCACTGCTCTGGATTGCACTTTTACACATCAGCAGTGAGTTAAGCTCTCTGTTGGTTTAAAGAAAATTCATAGTCCAGGTGACTTTTTCACTTCCTCCTCCTTTGGAAACAATATGTAGTGTCATTTGATGACACCGATCCCAGTGGGCCCTGTGCCGGGGCTGACCTTTGCTGCGTTTGTACCCCTAAGCTGGGCTGTCTCTACTGCCTCCTCGGAAGCCACCCGAGCCGCTCGGTCTGTCTGTGCCTAGACATCAAAGGTAAAAACTGGAGAACAGGTAGTAAGTTGGAGTCATTGCCCAGGCAGGGATCTTTTATCATTTTGTTGCTTCTGGAAATTTTTTACAGCACTTACCTTCAAATTGATTTGTGGGAGACAAGAGCAGCAACATCTACCTGTTTCAACACTGGACAAAACCATACTCCAAAACTTAAGACACATACACATACACCAAGAGTAGGGGAGGAGGGAGAGAGAGGTCTTCCATGGGTGGGGTCCCAGAGAAGTAAGCCTCCATGGCAAATGGAATGAGACAGCGGCCCTCTAAGGGTCTTTTTGGTCCTAAAGTCTCTACCCTCACAACAGCTTCTCACTTATTTGTGTAGCCATGTTTGCCCAGTTAATTCTGGAAGACTTCCAGCCTTCCTAGTTGCACCACATCTTACATCCACGTTATATGTGAGCAGATTTGGGTATGTGACTGCATGGGTTGACAAACAGGTAGGGATAGTGCCCAACAGCGTAACCAAGGATGGTTCTTGCAGGTCCTGCCCTCTCACCTTGCCTGTCCATTTTCACAACAACGGACCAAGCACTTCCACAAGTCCTCACAGTCCTCACTCCAGTTCTGTGGAATTAGCTAGAGAACTACGGTCCGTAGTTAGCACAGCTGAGGGAAGCGACGCTCTCAAAGGACACATGACTTCGCAAGTGGCAGTACAGCGACAAGCACCTCCGTGGCCTGGCTTCTGGTCTGTGCTGGAGCCCTGTCCTACAGCCCCCCCTTGGTAGCACACCGCTATATAAACAAAGCCCTGTCCAGACACTGCAGCCCAATGCAGTTATCCAGGTGACTGCACTTAGGCAAGGAGGGGGGGACGGACACCAGAGATTGGCCATCTTGCTGTCCAATAAATTGCAGAAGTTTAGGCTTAAATTGAGGTTGTTTGCTTATTCAAAGTTATGTAAGCCAGTGCTTTTTCTTTTCAGTACATATGGGAAAGACAAACTCCTCCCTGACTGCCAAAGGGCTTCCTTAGTCGACAGAGTCAATCCCAGAGAAAATGGCTGCCCAGAGAATTGTGGGCTCAACCTTTATCCTAAAGGGATGGCACACAGAACCTACCTTCTTTCCTCCCTTCCTTCCTTTTTTCTTTCTTTTTTTTAATAATCTTTTGAAATGGGGTCTCACTATGTAGTTATGACTATCCTAGGATGTCCTGGTTTACTGTGTAGACCAGGCTGGCCTCGAACTCACAGAGATCAGCTTCCAAGTGCTGAAATAAAGGTGTGTGCCACCCCCGCCCAGCACATTTCTTTACAATTAAGTTCTGCCAAGTAGGAAGGCTTATTAAACACTTTCAGGATTACAGAATGGTAGTGGGCTTTGATGATAGAATGCTGGGTCTTTTCAGAACCAAAATGGGTGAGTGGGGGTAGCTTTAATAATAGAGACACAGACAACATCCAGGTGGGTGCAGCGATGTCACATTACCAAGTGCAGATAAAACTGACGCCTGCCCACCCAGGATTTGCTCAGTCAAGGAAATTCATATGGTCGAACATCCCTACTACCCATGGTTTAAAAAAAAAAAAAATCTGCCTCTACCAGAATCTGTGAAGGAGAAAGCAGCAAGGAAAGGGGAGGTTGCTGGCCTCTGGGGACTGCAGTTAAGAAGTAAGAGTGGTGGAGATTATTTGCACTTTGTAGAAAGGGAGTGGTCTTGCTGGATTCAGCTTGGTAGTTGAGTTACTTTCGATAAACTTAATCTGATTGTAGACATTTTTTTTCTGTGTGCTTTTTAATTACTAAGAAAAAAATGTTGACTTCGATAGCTTTGGTATTTTGAGTGCAAATTCTAATAGCTCCAATGTGGAAAATCAAAGTGTAACCTGCCACTCAGTGTTAGAAAATTGCCTAAAATGCAGTTTAATAAATGATCTTTGTACCAAATGGTAATTTAAATGGAGTAATTTTCTGCAAAGAAAATGTACTGTCTTTATGTTTCCAACCCTCCTGAACTAAAATAAAAACACCTTGTTTTCTAAAAGCCTGGTGATGTGTCAGGCTAATGAGATTACAGGCAGATCTCACCGCACTGAGTACTGGGTAGTTTTCAAACTGTGGAAGGTGGCTGTGTTCTCTGAGCTCCGGTGCTCATTTCACACTACAGAAAGGACAGTGGATAATATGTTCTCATTGACGTCAGCAGGGTAAATAATACCTCGCCCCGAATTGCCTGAGTACACGATAGCCACTCCAGATCGCTGATGGAAACACTGCTAACCACAGCCTGCATACAGACAGGGCCCCACTGGGCTTGGTTAATGCTCCTTGCTGTTAGTCTCAGGACAGAGCTCATCGCTGCAGGTAGTCTGCAGGAGGAACAAAGCCAAGCACAACGTGCTTTTGTTCAGCTTCCCCAGAACAAGTCATGGAAAGTAAAGTTCTCTCTCTAAACTGCCAGGACGGCCAGCAAAGAAAACTGCTACTTACAGACAGTGTCACCTCCTCTCTGGGTCTGTGAAACGGACACACACACATCTTTTAAGATACAATATGCAACCCTTTGCCCTCAGGGTTTTGAAGAATTCCTTTGCCAAGCTGCTTTCATATGTTCTAGACTCATGGGGCCAGACCCCAAGTGAAAGGGCAGGATTAAATCCTCTTCTCTGGCAGTGAGCACAGCTGATATTTGATTTCCATTGCTTAAGCCATCCCCTTGGGCCAGAATTATACAGAACTGGAACAGCTCAAACTGAGGCCAGCCTGGTGGCTATGAGGGTGTATATAGGGCTGGGAGCACAGAACCTTCACGGCATGTGCACAGCTGTCCTACCGTCAAACAGCTCTTCCTCTTGGAGGAGAATCCACTACAAGTTTTAGTTTTCTTTTTCACTCTCAGTGACTGTTTTGCAAACTTGACCCTTGCCTGTTGGATCACCACATCACTGTAGTGTTGTCATAGGCAAGCACCCGGGCCTCCCCTACGTCTAAGGACACCTTCATTTCCATGACAAGCACAAAAGCCCTATGAAGAGCCACAAAGAATAGGCCATACCCTGTGGCCTCTGCTTGGCCAACTCAGAGACACAACAGGCCAGCATTAATCACATTTCCAAAACTGCCAGTCATCCTGTGGCCAGGTATGAACGAACAAGCTTCATTCTTGAGAGCGGCCCTCTCCTTTTTTCTCCATGCCTTCAATTGTGGATTCAGTCCTCTGATATACAGAGAAATCTTTGGACTCTTCCCCAGAAACCTCACCGACAGAGACACTCAGTCTCTAGGAGGACGATGGATCCAGTATCTAGAGGTTCACCCTGGGCCGCTGGCAAAACCCCTTACTCTGTACCTTCTAGAGCTAAAGATTCTGACAGTGACACTCCTGTGTAAGGAGTGCTCACACCTCCCACTGGATTCAGGAAAGAAGCGCCAATCCAGCCTGCAGTTCTCAGGGGCAAGGCTGGGCTTTGTGCACTAAAGTTATTTTTCAATTTTGGTATAATTATTATATAGCTTTTTTTAGAGTATGAAATACCAGCTTTAATTATGATGTCTTCACACCTATCTATGGATATGTATGTTCTTTGCTCATTCCTCCCATCCCTCTCATAACATATGGACCATTTCATGAACTTGCATGTAGGAGCCATGCTAATCTCCCTATACTGTTCCAGTGGTTATCAAATGTGCTGCCTGTGCAAGCACTGTGCACTTAGTCTTGAGTGCTACGTGGACACATAGGAAATCACAGACCATAGTTATTCCACCTTGGGCTCATTGAAGCATGGCTCCACCCTTTCACTTTGGCTCCACCCAGGCATTTAAGGCTGAACAGCTCTTGAGCAATGATTTCTGTACATAGATTACTTTAGGCAGTGTCCAGTAAGAGGAATTAAGAGACGGGTCTTGAACTGGAGTAGATGCCCCTTCACTTCAAACATGGAACTGTCATCAGCGACATACCCGCCACCATCCGGGCACAAAGCCTGAGACCACAAGTCACTGAGGCAGAACCTGAAGGGGAGGCAGGAGTCTGAATTCCCCTGCATCTATAGTCACAGGGCCAGGGGACACGGCCCCCTCCCTTTACGTGTGTATCTATTGGGCTTTCCTCAGGATTGCTGGGCCGGTTGGCAATGAGGGGGTAAACAAGCAAACACTTCAGTGGAGGAGCAACAACTTTGCAGACAAGCAGACTGCCCTGGAGTCAGTCCCCAATGCTGGCCGGGCAGATATTTCAGAAAATGAGGCAGTTGGGTGTTGAAGCTCTTGATGTGCTGAGTCACTCCTTCCACAGAGAGGCATCTTACTCCATTTTCCTCCTCCTCATTCCCCAAAGATGGAATAATGAAACCTGAGTTGCCCAAGAAAAGGCCTGACTGAGAACCCTGACCCCAAGGCTGCCCACCAAGCTCAGCTGAACTAAGAGGATGACACAGCCTTTCCACAAAGCATGCCGTCCACAGGACCCAGTGCACAGTCTTGCTGTGTCTAGCCTGAGACTCACTCTGTCTTAGGTCACTACAGAAACCCAAAGTTTAGTCATCAAAGTGAGAGCCGGAGGACAGGCAGGCAGTTGGAAGGGTCCCAGGAAATGAAGAGCCAGTACAGAGCAAGGCTAGGAAACAGAGGCTGGCTCCCCAGCCCCATCCAGAGGGTAGCCAGACAGGCACTGCAGGAGGGTGGTACCACCCCTTACTGCAGAGACAACATAGGAGGCAGCAAAAACTCTGGACTGTCTTTAACCCCCAGGCCTGCCACTAACCTTCAGATCACTGTAAGGGCTCATTGTCCCCAACTGTGATAGGAACAGGGCCTGACTCTACACTGCCCTGACAGCCTGTCACAATGCTCACTGTGCACAACACTGCGGTACGAAATGGTGATGCCGCTGCCTGTGAAGTCTCCTCACTGACTGAGGGTGGTTACCTGTTCTGACAAACTAGCCCCAGAATTTCTGAACTTTTGGTAATGAGTTCTGGGTAGCACCAGTCATGAGTACCACAGTGTAAGACCATCCAGAAGAATGTGATGGTTCATCTGCATTGTCAACTTGACTGGATTTGGAACCACCTAGGAGACACCCTGGGTCTATCTGCGAGGACATTTGCAGAAATGTTTAACTCGAAGGAAGAACCATCCTAAATGTGGGCAACTTTACCATAGGCTAGTGTCCTGGACCGAATAAAAAGGAAAGACAAGGAAGCCAGCAGAGTATCAGCAGTCACCTGATCAGACTGCAGACATGTGACACACTGCCATGCCTTACCCACCATGGACTGTCCCCTCAAGCTGTGAGCCAGTCTACACCCTCATGTTGTCTTGTCACAGTAACAAAGCTCAGTGACACACACATCCCATCTAGGCAGCCTTTTCCTCCCCAGCTGTGAAGTTAATTAAACTCATGGATGGAGAAGGCTAGAAGGCCTGGGGGAGTCTTTGCACAGACAGCTCCTCGGTCCTCAGGGAGTCACAGGAGACCAGACCCTAGGGGCCTGCTCCAGCTGGCCTGTGACCGATCCATTTACTTCTATACTTCTGACCTATCAGTGGCCTGTGGGATCAAGTTCCTTAGCTGAAGGGCTCTAGGGTGATCAGACATCCTTGGGCTTTCATGTACAGCAGTCCTCTGATTGGACTGGGGCCTCATGGAGCCTCGTCTCTCTGGGTTCAAGACTAATCCTCTGACTAAGAAGCTATGCTCATGAGCTCCTGCCCTTCAGACACCCACAGCTGGGCTCCTTGTAGTTGCCCTTAATCCCCAGGCAGCCCTTATGCCCCTCAATCTGAGGAATAAATCAGTTGCCTCGCAGAACAGCCTCGTCTCAGGCCAGCCAGGACATCCTAGGTCACCAGCAAGTCCTGGCTTGGACTCCAGAAGAGACAAATGCCCGAAGACACAAACCAGAGACTGAGTGATAGAAACAGGCAAAACACCCATAAAAACCAGCGGTAGAACCAAGGGTAGGGGGAGCCAGGGCCAGCGAAGGTAAGCTCTTAGCTGAGACTCGGAGACGGGACTGGGTCTGGTCAGTGTCTGTACAGAACAGACTGTCCAGGCAGAGAGAAAAGGAAGAGGAGGGTGGATTGTCAACCCAGTGTCTGCACCCTTTATTTATGAATGTTTCGCTTGATCTCGTCTCCAAACCTGGGCTCAGTGAGGAGACTCAATGTCCCTCACAGCTGCTCCTCCCTGCAACGACAAAACTGACATCACTGTTGTCAGGGAAATGGTGTTTTGATTAAAACCATGTGACAGCTACTTCATGATTCAATAAACAAATCCACTGTTAACCCTCGCCGGCCGGGCCTGACAAGCTCGCCAGCAGCTGTGGTCAGAGCACCCTCCACCCAGGAGGGAGTGACTAGGCCGACCTGGAGGTAACAGAGTGTGAGAATAGCTCAAGCTGTTCCCTGGCAGGTCCTGCGTGAGCAACACGAGTCAGCAAACACAGAGAAGACCATGCAACTTCAAGAGCCTCTCTCCATGGCACTGAGGCAACACCCACCCTTCACGAGGAAGAGCCCTGAGCCGCTCTCTTGAAGCACGCAGAAGGCACAGCCCTAAGACATCAGATGACTCCTTCAGGGCTTTGAGACCAGTCAGGAACTCAGTTCCCAGA